CGCTGATTTGCGAGGGATCAGCGAGGGATTCTGATTTTTGAGATTTCCCTCGCTGATCCCTCGCAAATCAGCGAGGGAATTTGTAGAAGAAAGTTCCCTCGCAAATTAGCGAGGGATCAGCGAGGGAATTAGTTTTTTCGGAACTTCCCTCGCTGATCCCTCGCTGATTTGCGAGGGATCAGCGAGAGAAAATTTCTCTCGCTGATCAGCGAGGGATCAGCGAGGAAATGTGTTTTTTGTCATTTCCCTCGCTGATCCCTCGCTGATCGTCGTCGCTGATACCTTGTTTTCTAGTAGTGATGTAACTTAACAAGTTATTTTTTAAATTTCATTAAATGAAAATTTCAAACGATTAGATAAGTATTTTGAATGTGAAGACTTTTTAAATAAAAAGTATTAAAAAAGTGTAGTAACATGACAAATTGTATTTTCTCACATTTCTAATTAATTTTTTTTTGAACGGCCAATTTATTAAAAACTAAAACTAGCCACCGACTAGACCGGCGAGCAAAAAAACAAGAAAAACAGCTACACCATGTTCGGGCTACAAGACCACCTTTCCCAAGCTAACGTGCCATAAGCCTTTCTAATTAATTACATATTGATACAACAAAATTTATATATTTTACAATTATATCAATTTATCTGATTTTTATTAAATTAACCAATGTGAATTGTGAATCCAATAGTCAATTTGGAACAAAACGATAAGTGGATCGAAGAAGAGTTTGATGGATGAAACAGTAACACATCAATAGTTAGCGATAGTTCACTTGGTTATCTGAACGGAAGAGTAAAATTTAATAAAAAATGTATATTATTTATTTAAATACACTATTAAATAAAAATACAATAATAGTGGGACAATTTTTATGGGGTTTTAATTGAATATATAATTATTAGATTTTGGTTGTGTTGGAGAAGGTTTATGTTTAGAAGGAAATTAACCTGGAGGAGGGTGTATTAGTAATTTACTAGTATAGCAGAGTACTAAAAAAATGGATGGCCATAATTGGGGATATAAAAAAGAAAATGGTGATATGAATAATTAATATTACAAAACCCTAATCCTATTGACTTATGTTGGGCTTCTGTTAAATAATTACTTCCTGTACTGACCTCCATCAGAACAAGTCTCTCAATAAAATGCCAACTTGCAAACCCACCAAACAAAGATTTTCCATTTAACAGCACACATACCCACAGAGAGAGAAAAGCCAATTTGTAAGTGAGATACACATATACAACCAGAAGCATATAGAGATCTAGAGAGAGAGAGAGAGATGGGAAGGGCTCCATGTTGTGATAAAGAAAATGTAAAGAGAGGCCCATGGTCTCCTGAAGAAGATGCAAAACTCAAAGGCTTCATTGACAGATATGGCACTGGGGGTAACTGGATTGCTCTCCCACACAAAGCTGGTAATTAACCCTCATCCCTTAATCTCTCTCTCTCCCCATTTGTGTGTGTTAATGTCTTGTTAAGAAATTAATTAAAGATCAGTAATTTTGATGATGTTTATATCTGGGTGATGGATTTGAGCCTGCAGGTCTAAAAAGATGTGGGAAGAGCTGCAGATTGAGATGGTTAAACTATCTGAGGCCCAATATTAAACATGGTGAATTCACTGATGATGAAGACAGGATCATCTGCAGCTTGTATGCTAGCATTGGTAGCAGGTATCAGACACCTTCATATGATCAGTCTTGGATCTTGTTTTTGCCAACTTTAGCTTTTTTAAATCAACATCATTAAAACACTGAATAGCTAAATATGAATTATCATATTGATTTCTTGTGTCCAATTGTTCTTTTCCTTGGCTATATAACATTCGAAAGCAACCCACCATGAAAAAATCTAAAAGAGTGAAAATGTCTGTGTGTGTGTGTGTGTGAGAGAGAGAGAGAGAGAGAGAGAGTGATCATCAATATTACAGAAAAAGATTCTGCAAATTCTAAAATTATGGATGCATGCATGCCAGTTAATTTGATAAGATATATGATCCTGAATCAATCCTTGATATATAATGAGAATTTCTTGGTTTAATGATGAATCAATCGTATATGCAGGTGGTCAATAATAGCAGCTCAGCTACCAGGAAGGACCGATAATGATATCAAGAATTACTGGAACACCAAGCTCAAGAAGAAGCTCTTGGCTATGCTTCCTTCCTTTCAGAAAAAGCCATCCTTTTTTCCATCTATATCCCTCCAATCACCACCACCATACAGATCAGACCAGTTCTTAACCAGTAATTTTTCACCTTTTCCCACTTACAGTACTCCCCCTAATTTCATGAATCATAATATGAACTCTCTCCTAACAACAGCCGCCGCCGCCACCACCCTTGTTCAAGATCATATCAATATTACTCATCTCTCACCACCACCACCACCACCACCACCACCAGACATAAACTCTTTGATCAGTTTGATCACCAACAACGATAATTGTTTCTATTTAGGGTTTCAGGCTGAGGATCATCAGAACATGTACAACAGCCCAATGGGGTACCACTATCTTACATCAGATGTGAAAGAATCAATGCTCATGTTCGGAAGTGGTGGTGGTGATGGTCATGAAGTGAGTGCAACTGGTTCTTCCTCTGAAGGTGGGAGTTGTATGAGTCAAATCAGCTATGGAGATTACAATAAAGATCATAATATTCAAAAGCAACAGCAGCATCATCATCAGATCAAGCAAGAAGACCGATTTGCCCTTCAGGGTTTCGGAGATCAAAGCCAAAGTTTCTTCATCAACCACAACTACACTGATCAGAAACCAAAAGTAGATTACAACTTGAAGAATTATGAAAAACCATTGGATAGTAATCATCTTGAGGAGGTGAAGCAACTGATCATTGGTAACAACAGAAGCAGCTACTGGTTCAATAATGATGATGATGAATACAAGACAACACATGATGATGATGATCATAAGGAGATACGCTATCATTACTGATCATCAAGTGTCTGATACATTTGTAATTAAGAAAGAAGATACGACAGACAAGAGACTTTGAGACAGTTTCTTGGGGTTTGTGCTGATTGTAGTGGAAATCAATGTAAAATATCACAAAAAAAGGAGGAGGAAGTTCTTTCTTTCTTTGTTTTCAGTATCTTAATTTCTGTGTGGAAGTACATGTACTAGCTTTTCTTTTTGTGCATTTCTTGTTGGGGTTATGATAATTTGTACTATTCTGTCAGTAGCTAACCCCACTCCAATTTTGGTTTCATAACTCAAAGATAAAGAACACACAGGACGTCGCAACTGACTTTAAACTTGATTGCTATGATATTCAAACCCCAAAAGCAATTTGTTACATATTCTCAATGTTCTGAATAATTAAACGGTCCAACTAATAAGCTTAGATGAACCAAGACTAAGATATATATATTATCTTCCTGTTCGTTATTAATATAATCAATAGTTAATGTATCTTTAATCCAACTAATCCTTCACCGCGAGTGTAATTTCCATATCTTTTCTAATCTATATATGACGCATGTTTGCCGTGTGTATCTATCCAAGAAGAAACTGACTTTGAAATTGAACCGAACATTCAACAAATGTTCCATATTAGGTATGTGTTTAACGGTTGACCTGTAAAAGTCTATACATTGCTAGTAATATAGATTTGTAAGCAATCTTGATTCTTGCCTACGTTTATATTCAACTTTTGGCCAACAAATTATTGTCACCAATTAAGTGTTAAGTTAGATATGACATCTGATATTAAATACAATATGAAGCTAGCTAGCCATCTTTGAACTATGTCTATAGCTAGCCAAGTCTATATAAGTAGCCCTTGCTTGTATTTGATGGACCTAGCTCAATTGGTACAGACATTAGTCCAAAAGTGATTATAACATCTTTTCTTTAGTAATCATTACGAATTATTATGATACCAACTTCGTCCTTAATTATTAAGGGGGGCTAATGGCACCCCTATCATGTACTAATGTCATCTTTAAGTAGCCTTTAATCATTTATATTTTATAATTTTTTGTGTTTTTTTATTTTTTTGTGATTATTACTTTTTATTTTATTATTAATTAAAGAAAATTTTAATTAATATATATTATTTATTTTATTTTCTGTTTTATTTATTTATTTATATTATATTTTAATTAATATAAATTATTAATAAATATATATTA